AGATAATTTTATAAACAATTTTAATAATTTGCAGCATCAAACAAAGTATCAGAAAGCAAAGGTGCCACTATCTCAGCCACCCAAATGGGCAATTTTGAAATATTCTGGAATTCTGAATAAGGGATGGAACAGTACCAGGATGTTTAACTAACCTCAACTAAAGTGACATGCTCAACCTTATCTGTTTATAACCAGGTTGTATTCAAAAACTTCAGTGGGACTTGCTCCGTGTAAACAGAAACAGAATTTCAGACTTGAGACTATGAATTTAGTCTTAACTGGCTTGAGAAACAGATTAATCATAATCGGGATTGACCCTTCAAATTGTAACTGGATGGGAATGGCTAGGACTGCATAAATCTAAAGCAAGTAAACAGCAGGTTGTTGTAAGCTTTCCGGGCTGTATGGCCATGTTCCAGAAGCATTCTCTCCTGATGTTTCAACTGCATCTATGGCAGGAATCCTCAGAGAGCGTGAGGTCTGTTGGAAACTAGGAAAATTGAAAACACAGAGAAGCCATTGAAATACACAAGCATGTGGACAATTTCAACAAAAAGGAGGAAACCATAAAAATGAACAAAATCTGGCTACCAGTATAAAATCGCAACAGCACAACAACAGAGAGGAAGCAGGCAGGGACATCTAATTACCTCTCAACAAAAGTTTGCTCCAGGCACAGTCAGCCCATTGTATGCTAATCAAAGTGGTCAGTTGAAACATTCACACCTAGCTCCAGCAGACAAGAGTCCTTTGTCTCACCCTGGTCTTTCCACAGATATATAAACCCTTTTTTCTAGTTCCAACAGACCTCACTACCTCTGAGGATGCTTGCCATAGATGCAGACGAAACGTCAGGAGAGAATGCCTCTAGACCATGGCCATACAGCCCGAAAAAACCTACAACAACCTAGGAAAATTGGGTTTACATATCTGTGGAATATCCAGGGTGGGAGAAAGAACTCTTGTCTGTTTGAGGTAGGTGTCAATGTGTCAATTGGCCACTTTGATTAGCATTTAATGGCCTAGTAGTTTCAAGATCTGGCTTCTTACAACATGTGGGAATCGTTTGATGGGTGGTGATTAGCTGGCCCTGATTGTTTCTTGTCTGGAATGTCCCTGTTTTTGAGTGTTGTTCTTTATTTACTGTTATGATTTTAGAGTTTTTAAATACTGGTAGCCAGATTTTGTTCATTTTCATGGTTTCTTCCTTTCTGTTGAAATTGTCCACATGCTTGTGGATTTCAATCCCTTCCAACAAAGGATTCCCTCAGTCAGTAAGAAGCCAGACCTTGAAACTGCTAGGCCACTAAATGCTAATAAAGGTGGCCAATTGAAACATTCACACCTACCTCTAACAGACAAAGTTCTTTCTCTCACCCTAGACATTCCACAAATATATAAACCTCACTTACTTAGTTTCCAAACAGACCCCTCAACCTCTGAGGATGTCTGCCATAGATGTGGGCAAAACATCAGGAGAGAATGCTTCTGGAACATGGCCATACAGCCTGGAAACTTACAACGACCTAGTGATTCTATCCACAAAAGCCTTTGAAATCCAAGTAAACAGTGATTGCATTGCATGTTTCAAATGAGGCTAAAACACATATTTAAAATAATGTGCATTTTAGATTAATGCTCATAATGCAAGACCATTTGCTCGCTGGCCTTATTGTTTATCATAACAATGTTTTGCTTTTCTCCCTGCAGGCCTCCTCTCCCTTTTAGATGCTGATAAACTGCAAATGTTTATTCACTCCAGAGCCAATACAATGGTCCGTGCAGAGTCCTCGCTGCCCCCCTTTCAGATGAGCTGAGTCAGGAGGCTCATTTAACTTTCATGTGTCATGTTACCCATCCTCTCCTGTGTGGTTGACATTGACTTGCGTCAAAAGGCAGATAGATCAACATGCACAGCCTTGAAATCAGCCCCGAAAGCCCGGTGCTGCTTTTCTTCTTGCTGTTCACACTATTACATTTCACATTATTACAATGGCTAGGTGTTTGCTCTCTGGGGAGGGGGAGGCGAAGGGAAGGCAGGTAAGATATCCGACTGGGCTGCACCTGTGAGAAGAGGCTGGGAAGCCATCGCTGCCAAAGGTGAGTGCCATTCCTTCCCCATCACAACACCTTCTTTCTTGAAAGGAGAAGGACCACGTGAAGAGGGAAAGGGGAGGGAAGGAGGGAGTCAAGGTTAAAGCCGGCATCTTTCCTATTGGACCGAGGAGGAGGAGGAGGAGGAGGAGAGAGAGGCAGCCTCTGCTTTCACAGAGCGATGCTTGGATTGACAGCAACCCCAGAAAGCATGAGTCTATCTATCTAGAAATCCCGAAGCCATGCACCCAAAATCCCAACCTTCACAAAACCCTGGTGATAGCAATAGATAGAGGGAAGAGGGATCTTGCTTTGGTTAGAGGCAAGATCGGTTGTCGCTGGTTGCAATGTGGGGAAAGGAAGGGGGAAAGGAGCCCAAATCAAGTAACCTAAAGGCACATCTACTCTAGAGAATGAATACCATGCACTTTAAGTGCCATGGGATCATAAGGGCTGTGGTCTAACTAAGCCTTCCCTGCCAAAGAGTGCTGGTGCCTCACCAAACTACAGCTCTCAGGATCTCATAGCAATGAGCCATTGCAGATAAAGTGGAATCAAGATGCATTCATTCAGGAATGGACAAACTTTGGCCCTCCAGGTGTTTTGGACTCCAACTCCCACAATTCCTAACAGACTCAGGCCCTGAGGCTGTTAGGAATTGTGGGAGTTGGGAGTCCAAAACACCTGGAGGGCCAAAGTTTGCCCACGTCTGTTGTAGATGCATCCAATAAGGCACTCAGGATTGGAGGGTGCCCAAACGGGTGCCTGATTTGAACCTGCCTGAAGAATGAATATAATTTGATAGTATTTTCACTGCTACAGAGTCATGGGAGCTGTTGTTGTACAAGGCCTTACCCCTTTCTGATGCCTCAACAAACTACAAATCCCGTAATATTGCCTCAATGAACCATGGCAGTTAAAGTGATGTCAAGCCGCATTGATTCCACTGAAGAGCGCAGTGCAATAATATAATTGGAATAATGTATTGTCGAAGGCTTTCATGGCTGGAATCACTAGGTTCTTGTGGGTTTTTTCGGGCTATAGGGCCACGTCAGGAGAAATGCCTCTAGAACATGGCCCTATAGCCCGAAAAAAAACCCACAAGAACCTTATACTTGGAATATGTGCAATGACTATGGGATGGCCTTAGACTACGATTTCTGGATGGCGTGATTTTAATACTGAATGTGATTTTTAAATGTTTAATAGGTATTAATATATTGATGAAGGCTTTCATGACCAGAATCACTGGGTTGTTGTGAATTTTCCGGGCTGTATGGCCATGTTCCTGAAGCATTCTTTCCTGATGTTTTGCCTGCATCTATGGGCAAGCATCCTCAGAGGTTGTGAGGTCTTTTGGAAACTAGGAAAATTGTGTTTATTTATCTATGGAATGTTCAGAGTGGGAGAAAGAACTTCCAACAAAGGATTCCTCCAGGCAGTAAGAAGTCAGACGTTGAAACTGCTAGGCCATTAAATGCTAATCAGTGAGGCCAATTGAAACATTCACACCTACCTCCAACAGACAAGAGTTCTCTCTCCCACCCTGGGCATTCCATAGATATAAGGTAAAGGTTTTTCCCTGACATTAAGTCCAACCTTGACCGATTCTGGGTGGTGGTGCTCATCTCCATTTCTGAGCTGAAGAGTCGGCGCTGTCTGAAGACACCTCCAAGGTCATATGGCAGGCATGACTACATGGATTGCTGTTACCTTCCCGCCGGAGCAGTACCTATCGATCTACTCACATTTGCATGTTTTCGAACTGCTAGGTTGGCTGAAGCTGGGCCTAACAGCGGGAGCTCACACCACTCCTCAGATTCGAACCTCCAACCTTTCGGTCGGCAAGTTCAGCAGCTCAGCGCTTTAACCCACTGTGCCACAGGGTTTCCTAGTTTCCAACAGACCTCATAACCTCTGAGGATGCCTGCCATAGATACAGCTGAAACATCAGGAGAGAATGCTTCTGGAACATGGCCATACAGCCCAGAAAACTCACAACAACCCAGTAATAAGTATTAATTTTTAATTGAAACTTAATGTTTGTATGCGTTTAAGGTATGGGTTCTCAAACTAAGGCCCAAGGGCCGGATATGGCCCTCTAAGGTCATTTACTAAGTCTGAAATGATTTGAAAGCACACAACAACGACAACAACAATCCTATCTTATCAGCCAAAAGCAGGCCCACACTTCCCATTGAAATACTGATAAGTTTAAATTTGTTTAAATTGTTCTTCATTTTAATTATTGTACTGTTTTAAGTATTTTTTACACTACAAATAAGATATGTGCAGTGTGCACAGGAATTCATTCATGTTTTTTTTTTCAAACAGTTTGAGGGACTGTGACCTGGCCCTCTGTTCAAAAAGTTTGCGGACCCCTAGTTTAAGGCATGGTATCATTGCCATACGTAAGCCGTCTTGAGTCCCCCTTGGGTTAGAGAAAGGCGGGGTATAAATAGGGTAAATAAACAAATAATTCCAGGGTGTGGATTCACTCAAGGACGTGGGGGCTGGAGCTCTTTCCCACAGATCTCCCTTCTTCCAGGGAGGGGAAAGCATCCTCTAATTGTTTGCCCTTCAGTTGACATACAGGCAGAGAGAGGCTCTGGAAAGCTGGGAAACCTGAGGAACTGGGGTTTGGCCCAAAGGTCACCCCGAAGCGCCTTCCTTAGCCAGGTGTCCTTTTGCCTCACCAAGGCAGGCTTTTGCCCCGAATCACCTGTTGCGTGGAGACAGGCCAAGTGGCAGGACGTCCCGCCTCCTCTCCGCCCAGTCCCTCGCCACCCCCGACCCCAAGGCACTCCCCAGGTGCCTCCTCTCTCCTTTGCTCTCAATATCACTGTTGTTGTGTTTCTTTTTGCAAAGCCCCCCCCCCCCTCTCTCCTGCCACCGCCGCCGCTCACCTGCATGTGTCCCTGGTACATTCTTGCTTCGCCGGCTTCTGCGCTTCCCCCGAGGCCGACAGGTTGTGGGGCTGGAGAAAAAGAGGAGGAGGAGGAAGGGGGAAAGCAAAGAAGGGCCCTTCCTTGACTTGGCAAAGGCAAGAGAAGAGAAATAATAACAATAAAAAGATGGAAAAATCTTAGTTGCGACTTGGTGCGGGCAAGGTTGCAGCGTCTGTTGCTCTGGGATGACCTCCCTCCTCTTCCTCCTCTTCTTCTCCCCTCGTTCAGGGATTTCTTGCAGGTTGGAGGGTGCAAAACATGAAAAAAAAATCAAAATAAAGGAGAGGAGGGCAAGCGCCTCCGGAAAGGTGCCCCGAGAGAGGCAAAGAGCTCAAGGAGGGGAGGCGTGCTGGGGTTATTTTCCGCTTCTCTTTCTCTCTCTGTCTCTTATGGCCTCGCCAAAGCCCAAGGTGGATGGACTGAGTGCCGGAGCCCAACTCCGCCTGGCTGCCTTTATAATAACTCTGCCGCTCTTTTTTTCCGGCGAACTCTTCGGGGCTGCCGGCTTGGCGCCTTCATTTCGCTGGCTCTCCCCGCCGACCCCTCCTCCTCCGCCACCAGCTGCTCCTCCTCCTCTCCTCCTTCTCTCCCTCCCTCCTTGCCTTTCTTTGGTTGCTTCTGGAGCTGGACACAGCCTGCCTCTTTCCCTCCCTCCCTCCTTCCTTCCCTCCTCCTGCAAAGAAGAGGAGGCCAGAGCGCGCGCCATCCGGGGATCGTTCGAAAGGCCGGCGCGCGCTCGCACCCCCGCCTGACTGCTGCAGAAGCCTTCAAGGAGCCGCGGGCATTAGCCACAAGGCAAGCTGGCCCTGCTCTCTCTCTCTCTCTGTCTCTCATACACCACATTTGCCACAAGGCACGTTGACCCCCCTTGGTCTCTCTCTCTCTCTTTTGCAAACATTGGCCACAAGGCAAGCTGACTTCTCTCTGTGTGTGTGTGTCTCTTTCACATACTCATCAAGGGCGCATCTAGGCTGCAGTTTGACACTACTTCATGGAACAACAGACTGGTTCAAGATTGGGAGTATGGCAGGGCTGTAGACTCCTACTCAATCTGACCTACAAGAAGCACTGCCTGAATATCAAGCAAAAAAGTGGGCTCTAGAAATAAGACTGAAAGCCATAACTTGGTTGCGGAGAGACTATTAGTCATTTGATCGCTCTACCTGCCTCCTAATTACACCAGAAGACAACTTACGGCTTGGCGAGCTGTTGGCAATACGATCCTGCCTAAAGAAATGGGGCATTACCATCAGAAGGGTTGTTGTGGACCCTCATATTCGCCCCCTTGTTGACACAGTGGTACCTTCTTGTTCTGTTCCATCAGGTCCCTGTGATAAATCCACAGTTAGCTCCCCAGTTAGGGCCTCCCCTCCAGGACTGTATCAATTTGAAACTCCATCTGCCCCAGTTGTCCCTACACAATCAGCCACACTCTCCCACCCAAGAACACTCCCCCTTTTCAGCCCACTCAGTTCCCTTGATGCCTCTCTTTCCAGCTTGACATCAGAGGCGTCCCTATATGAGATCCAGGGGAAATTATACTAGGATAACCTCCAGCACTACATCCCAGAAGCACTTTATTAGAGTTTAAGACTCTCTGCACATTGCACTTGACCAGAAATCCAACATACCTCCTGCCACACCCAGCACTTTTAACCTGTACCCATCACTGGCCTGGCCCTGGTTTTTATTGTGTAATGATGTAATGTTTTGTTATTGCTTATGTTTTAATTTGCTTTAAATTGTATTGTTATTGTTTTGCTGTTGTTGTGTTGAGACCTTGGCCTTTGTAAGCCACATCGAGTCCTGCAGGAGATGCTAGCAGGGTACAAATAAAGTTGAATAATAATAATAATATCATACAAAAACTAGCTGGCACAACCTGGGGATCACAACCAGACACAGTGAAGACATCTGCCCTTGCACTATGCTACTCTGCTGCTGAGTACGCATGCCCAGTGTGGAACACATCTCACCACGCTAAAACAGTGGATGTGGCTCTTAATGAGACATGGCGCATTATCATGAGATGTCTGCGCTCTACACCACTAGCAAAATTACATTGTTTAGCCAGTATTGCACCACCTGACATCCGTCAACCAATAGTGAAAGGACGCAACACAATTAGGAGCCCCCGGTGGCGCAGTGGGTTAAACCCTTGTGCTGGCAGGACTGAAGACCGACAGGTCGCAGGTTCAAATCCGGGGAGAGGCGGATGAGCTCCCTCTATCAGCTCCAGCTCCTCATGCAGGGACATGAGAGAAGCCTCCCACAAGGGTGATAAAAAACATCAAATCATCCGGGCCCCTGGGCAACATCCTTGCAGACGGCCAATTCTCTCACACCAGGAGTCACTCCTGTCACGACAAAAAAAAAACCAAAAAAAAAACTCTGGCCCACCTCTGTTTGGGTATCAGCCAGCATGCCAATGACTTAAATCAAGAAATAGTTTTCTAAGATCTACAGAGACACTCGCTGAAACACCTCAGCAAGCAAGAGTCCAAAAGTGGCAGGCTCAAACCCAGAACCTCAACCAATGGCTGATACCAAATGAGAGACTCCCCCCTGGGCACACAGAAAACTGGGCGACTTGGAAGGCGCTGAACAGACTGCGCTCTGGCACCACGAAATGCAGAGCCAACCTCAAGAAATGGGGCTACACTTGGAATCCACGACATGCGAGTGTGGAGAAGAGCAAACCACTGACCACCTGCTGCAATGCAACCTGAGCCCAGCCACATGCACAATGGAGGACCTTCTTGCAGCAACACCAGAGGCACTCCATGTGGCCAGCTACTGGTCAAAGGACATTTAATAGAATACCAAGTCTGCAAATTTTGTGTTTTGTTTGTTTGTTTTTCGGTTTCTTTAATGCAATACGACTGTTTTGGTTTGCTCCTGACACCATAAATAAATAACTTGTATGCAGAACACATTGTGCGATGTGTGGAGCTTGACAAATGCAAGGCTGGGGTTAAAATTGCATGACGAAAAATTAATAACCTTAGATATGCAGATGATACCACTTTGATGGCTGAAAGTGAGGAGGAGCTGAGGAGCCTTCTAATCAAGGTGAAAGAAGAAAGGGCAAAAGCTGGGTTGCAGTTAAACATTAAAAAACCCCAAAATTATCGCAACAAGACTGATTGATAACTGGCAAATAGAGAAAATGTAGAGGCAGTGACAGACTTTATATTTCTAGATGCAGACCGCAGCCAGGAAATCAGAAGATGCTTACTTCTTGGGAGGTGACCAATGACCAATCTTGATAAAACAGTGAAGAGTAGAGACATCACACTGGCAACAAAGATACGCATAGTTAAAACAATGATATTCCCCATAGTAACCTACAGATGTGAAAGCTGGATCATAGGGAAGACTGAGCAAAAGAAGATAGACGCTTTTGAACTGTGGTTTTGGAGGAAAATTCTGAAAATTCTGAGAGTGCCTTGGACCGCGAGACGATCCAACCAGTCCATACTTCAGGAAATAAAGCCCAACTACTCATTGGAGGGAAGGATATTAGAGGCAAAGATGATGTATTTTGGCCAGATCATGAGAAGACACGAAAGCTTAGAGAAGACAATGATGCTGGGGAAAATGGAAGGAAAAAGGAAGAGGGGCCGACCAAGGGCAAGATGGATGGATGGTATCCTTGAAATGACTGGCTTGACCTTGAAGGAGCTGGGGGTAGTGACGGCTGACAGGGAGCTCTGGCGTGGGCTGGTCCACCAATGAATACCTCATACTGTACACTATATTTCAGAGAAAGGATCTGGCAGAACTATCTCTGAGTATTCCTTGCCTAAAAAAATCCTATAGAGTTCATGGGGTAACCATAAGTTAAAAAGTGACTTGAAAGCATGTATACACAATTAGGAGCCCCCAATGGCGCAGTGGGTTAAAGCTGCTGAACTTGCTTACCGAAAGGTCAGCAGTTCAAATCCATGGAGCGGGGTGAGCTCCTGCTATTTGCTCCAGCTTCTGCCAACCTAGCAGTTCAAAAACATGCAAATGTGAGTAGATCAATAGGTACCACTTTGGCGGGAAGGTAATGGCATTCCATGCAGTCATGTCGGCCACATGACCTTGGAGGCATCTACGAACAGCGTCAGTTCTTCGACTAAAAATGGAGATAAGCACCTCCCCCAGAGACGAACAAAACTAGACTTAATGTCAAGGGGAAACCTTTACCTTTATGCACACAATTGTTGCTAAGATAAGTTGCACTGCTGGGAGTTGCAGGAAAAAAAATATCTGGATAGCCATTGATTGTCTGCCCTTGCATTAGAATGAGTCATATTTCTATTTCTAACATTTTTGATAGTCCTACTGCATATACTGTGTGCTAAAATATTTAATATTCTATGGTCAACTCATTCAGATGCTGTTATTAAAAAAGGAGGCAGGAAAATTTCTCTAATCAGTATAAACAATGAAAGTGAAGACATGGGCATAATTTATCATAAGGTGGTGCCCAAAGCTAAGCTAAGCTTGTTGACTTGTGGTGGCCTCATTAATTTCATAGAATTTTTCTTAGACAAGGAATGGTTTGCCATTGCCTTTCTCTGAATGTAGCACCTGAGATTCCCTGGTGGTCTCCCATCTGCATAATAACCCAGCCTGGCTCTCTTTTGTTTCTAAGTTCAGACAGGATTTGCTGCCTTCAAGATGCTTAGAGTTAGTTTATACCTAACCTAATATCAATTAAAAGGGTATTTGCAATATGATTTGGTGCCTTGGGATCATGGATTTGGCAGTTTCTCTAGAGATCATGTAGTCCAAATCCCTGTTGAATACTACAATGCAGGTGTAGGAAGTATCTCACAATGAAAAAGAGACTCCCACCTTCCCATACATTCTGTACCACTATGAAACAACTAGAAAATGTCTTCTAATATGAAAACTGCCTAATCTTGCTCTTTCAATCCACAGGAAAAAAAGTCTGCTCCATTTAAAAAATACATTTGAAGACCATTATCATATTACCCCTTAATGTTCTCTTCTTCTGTTGACTTTGCCTTATAGCAATGCCATGAATGAGAGACCTCTGAGTAATCCCATCAG